AACTACTCAGTAGGCTGAGGCAAGAGAATTGCTTGAACCCAGGAAGTGAAGGTTACAGCGGTAAGTGGAGGTGCCAGTGAGCCAAGATCAAGCCACTGCGCTCCTGCCTGAGGAGTGAGACTCCAGGGACAGAGTGAGATTCCATCTTTAAAAAAAAATTTTTTTAAGAAAATACTGGAAAGTACCTAAGAGTTTAGAGGCTGAAAGCAAAACAAAACCAGGCCAGTACGAAGGTTCCTAAAACATTTAAACACTGATTTACCATTTTACCCAGCAATTCCCCTTCTGGCTATATACACAGAAAAGGTAGGACTTGAATAGATATTTGTACAGCAACATTTATGGTGGCATTATTCACAATAGCCAAACGGTGAAATAACCTGTGTCTACTGACAAATGGGTTAACAAAATGTGATATCTACATAAATGGAATAGCCTTAAAAAGGAATGAAATTCTGATACATGCTACAACATGGATGAATCTTGAAGACATTACCCTAAATAAGTGAGATACCAAAGTACACACATGATCTCACTTATAGTAGGTACCTAGAATAATCATGTTCACAGAGACAGAAGGTAGAAAAGTAGTTACCATGGGCTGAAGGAGGGAGGAATAGAAAGTTATTGTCTAGGATAAATTTCAGTCTGGGATGTTAAAAAAAAGTTCTGAACAGCCTCAGTAATGAAGTAAGGCTCTACCTCTAGATTTTTTTTTTTTTTAATTAGCCAGGTGTGGTGGTATGCACCTATAGTTACAGCTTCTTGGGGGACTGAGGAAGGAATATCCCTTGAGTCCAGAAATTCAAGGTTGCAATGAGCTATGATTATGCCACGGCATGCCAACCTGGGAGACAAAGTAAAACCCTGTCTCAAAAACAAAAAGCTGGGCACATTGGCTCCCACCTGTAATCCCAGCACTTTGGGAGGCCGAGGCGGGTGGATTACGAGGACAGGAGTTCAAGACCAGCCTGTCCAAGTTAGTGAAACTCCGTCTCTACTAAAAATACAAAAATTAGCCGGCGTGGTGGTGGGCGCCTATAATCCCAGCTACTCAGGAGGCTGAGGCAGGAGAATTGCTTGAACCCAGGAGGCAGAGGTTGCAGTGACCTGAGATCCTGCCACTGCACTCTAGTCTGGGAGACACAGCAAGACTTTGTCTCAAAAAAAAAAAAAGAGTTCTGAAGATGGATGGTAGTGATATTTACACAACAATGGAAATGTACTTAATGCCACTGAACTGTACATTTAAATATAGTTAAAATGGTAAATTTTATGCTATATATATTTTACCACAATTAAAACATTTTTTTAAACAAGTCAGGTTAATTTTGCCAAGAGTTACTAGATCTACTCAGTAAATTCCACAACATGATTTGTCTTCATAGGCATAATATTGGTTAAAGGCTTAAAAGGAAATTGCTGAGAGGCTTAAATGTTAGTCTGACCCTTGCACTGCTTTAGAGACCACATGCTGAACCTTCATCAATATGCAAAACTAGCATTGCATGTCAACAAATGCGTATATAAACAAACATGCAAAAACTTGTCCTGGAAAGGTATCAAGCATCGAAATAAGTATGCTATTTGGTTGTTGATCCATAATACTGATAAAATTATTAAGTAAATATTACAAAAAGAATTAAAAAATAAGAGAAATAATGATCTCTAAATTATTTCCATTCAAAGAATAAAGAGGTTGGGTGCAGTGGCTCATGCCTATAATCCCAGAACTTTGGGAGGCTAAGGCAGGAGGAACACCTGACGTCAGGAGATCGAGACTAGCCTGACCAACATGGTGAAACTCCATCTCTACTAAAAATACAAAAATTAGCTGAGTGTGGTAGCATACGCCTTAATCCCAGCTACTCAGGAGGCTGAGGCAGGGGAATCACTTGAACCTGGAAGGCACTCCAGCCTAGGTGACAGAGTGAGATTCTGTCTCAAAAAAAAAAAAAAGAAGAATGAAGAATTTCTTTCTTCAGTATCTACTTAACACTGCTTGCTATACTGATGAAATTCTCCCTTCTGAATCATTACATATAATTCTGTGACAGATAATACGTACACATATAATTAAACAAAATGAGGCATGAGATAAATGTATAGTTAACTTATTTTAAAATATAGACACAAGTTTTCAAAACGTATTTTAGTACTTCTGGGAGTCCCTAAATTTTTTTCTTTTTTCTTTTTTTGAGACAGAGTCTTACTCTATTACCAGCATGGAGTGCAGTGGCACAATCTTGGCTCACTGCAACCTCTGCCTCCCCCAGTTCAAGCAATTATTGTGCCTCAGTCTTTCAAGTAGCTGGAATTACAGGCATGTGCCACCACGCCCATCTAACTTTTGTATTTTAGTACAGATGGGGTTTTGCCATGTTGGCCAGGACTGTCTCAATCTCCTGACCTTGTGATCCACCTGCCTTGGCCTCCCAAAGTGCTGGGATTTCAGGCATGAGCCACCACACCTGGCAATTGTTTTTTCTATTTTCAAAAAAACACTTAAGAGTCCAGCTCAGAAGGCATTATGATACTTCTGGGTAAAAATACTACATACCAGATAATAACATAAAATGAAAAATTGGCAACAGTATAAGAAACGTTTTGCATTCATTATGACGTCATGAGTGACACGTGTGGAGTTACCATGTTGCAAACACAAAACATACCAACATGTCTATGAATATATTCATTCCAAACTAGCAACATGATTGCTGAGGACAACAAAAACATATATAACATTATTTGTCTTCCTGCTTTAGACATATAATAACAAGAGCTAATACCATTAATTGCTCACCTTATGCAATGTACCCAACATGGTTCTAAGTGATATATGTATTAGGTTGGTACAAAAGTCATTGCAGTAATGACAAAAACCACAATAACTTTTGCACCAACCTAATATATACACATATAACCACATATACATACATATATATATTATATATGCACATACACACACATATATATATTATATACACACACTCATTTATTTCTCATAACAATCCTTTGAGGTCTATATCTTTATTATCCCCAATTCAAAGATGGGAAAATGAGGCAAAGGGGAGTCTGGACGTTTTCCCGAGGTCATGCAGCTAGTGAGAGGGGAAGCCTGGGTGTGAGGCCAGGCTCCAGAGCCCACTCTCATGACATATGCTCTGGCACCTCTCAAATACATATGGAAAGCTGGGGAAGATGACCAGCACTACACACTTTATATCGTCCATACAACTGAATTTTGACAACCAAGTTATCCACTTTCTTATCATGAGGAAACTGAGGTGGGAGCGAACTCATATCTCTCATCTTTAACATTTCAGGATCTAGCATAGATAACAAAGTCCCTGTGGCCAGCAGTTATTCGAGAAGACTGTTAAAGCAAAATCGAGGAGCAGAAGCACAGGGTGGGATGGTCTGGCACTCCGGCTGGACAGTGGTGATAAAGGGTCTCAAGTGGGTCCCCTAGGGTTCCACTTCCTTCGAGTTTCCAGAGTCTCTGTGTGCCTGACCCTTTATTATCCCATTGTTCCAGCCTTCTTTCTTTTTTTCTTTTCTTTTTTTTTTTTAGAGACAGGTCTCACTATGTTGCCCAGGCTAGAGTGTAGTGGATATTCACAGGCTCTGATCAGCACAGGAGTTTTGACCTGCTCCGTTTCTGACCTGGGCCGGTTCACCCCTCCTTAGGCAACCTGGCGGTCCCCTGCTCCTGGGAGGTCACCATTTGATGCCAAACCTAGTATGGACACCTGAGCACAGTAGCACAATCATGGCTCACTGCAACCTTAACCTCCTGGTCTCAAGTGATCCTCCTGTCTCAGCCTCCTGAGTAGCAAGGAGTACAGGCACATACCACCATGCCTGGCTAATTTTTTGAATTAATTAATTTTGAGACAGGGTCTCGCTTTGTCACCCAGACTGGAGTACAGTGGCATGATCTCAGCTCATTGCAACCTCCACCCCCAGGGCTCAAGAGATCTTCTTTCCTTAGTGTCCTAAGTAGCTGGGACTACAGGTGATGCCATAACATCTGGCTATTTCTTTGTATCTTTAGTAGAGACAGGGTCTTGCCATGTTGCCCAGGCTGCTGATTTTTAAATTTTTTATAGAGACAGAGGTCTTGCTACATTGCCCAGGCTGGTCTCAAACTTCTGAGCCCCTGCATGTGGCCTGGAATTCTATTTGTCATAGGTATGTCAGCTTTATAAACTTGGTGCACCTTTGTGAGACGAAGACCAAAACACCATCACTGTGATTACTACCGCTGTTACCATCACTTATCACCACTTACCTTTGGGCAAGGCACTGTGCACAGGCAATACACCATTTAAACCTCACAAAAGTCTGCATCAGAATTTCTGCAGAACAAGTACCTGTAGCAGAACTGCTTAGTATACTTGTTAAATAACGAACATTCTTGAACTCCACCCTAGACCTACTCAATCAGAATCCCTAGGGGAGGGCCTCAGAATCAGTATTTTAAGCAAGTTCTTCATGACATTCTCATCTTGGCATATGAATCCCCATTTTACATAGAAGGTATCATGAGGTAAAGTGAGCTGACAACGATGCCATCGCAAAACATAGGATTTGAACTCAGTGAAGCTTGTGGTTATTTTAAGATGGCACAAAAGCAAGTGAGATCCCCTTTGAAACCCACCAACCAGTATAATGTCATACAATTTCCCAAACCATTAATCTCTGTAAATACATAGAAAGTGCTCTTTCTTTTAAATAAAAAAAAAAAATTTACAATGAATGATACGCCCTCTGAGCTCCACACCATTCATTTCATTTTGACAAGATTGAACCATCTTTTAGCACTTTCAGTGCTTCATCAAATGGCACTGCCTATATCAGAAGAGCAACGAAATCCCTGCAGTAATTAGACAAACACGGGAAACTCAGAGCAGAGTAAATCCACAAGCTGTGGCAGAAACAGAGCCATAACATAGCTATCAAGAGGTTGTCTTTTGATAACCTGTTGACTAACGTACCACAAGAGGCTGACTTCCGGTCCACCATGTTTACACGCCTGGTTTCAGTGTGAAGTTTCTCATCTGTGTTCTCCACTAGGTTGGCAAGGTCGTCAATTATCTCTAGAAAGGAAAGATACATAATTAATATTCCTAAAATACCCTGGCTCACATCACAGTATCACAGCTGCGGTTGTTCTTCCTAGCAATAATTATCTCACGTCCAGTAATGGAAAAGGTACAGAACTCATGTCGATTCTTTGAAAACTGCAATTCCGATTCTAAAAGGAAAAAAAAAAGCAGTAAAGACGAAAACTGATTGAACACAATTCCAGGAGACAGGAGAAATGCCATGTTCAGAGGAAAGAAAGCATGACCCACCAAATGTATGCCTAGCCAAGCTGTCATTCAGGTATCAAGGAACAGACAGGCCAAGTGAGGTGGCTCATGCCTGTAATCCCAGCACTTTGGGAGGCCAAGGTGGGTGGATTGCCTGAGGTCAGGAGTTTAAGACCAGCCTGGCCAACATAGCAAAACCCTGTCTCTACTAAAAATACAAGCATTCACTGGGTGTCGGGGTGGGCACTTGTAATCCCAGCTACTCAGAAGGCTGAGGCAGGAGAATCGATTGACCCTGGGAGGCAGAGTTTACAGTGAGCCGAGATTGCGCCACTACATTCCAGTCTGGGTGACACAGTGAGACTCTGTCTCAAAAACAAAACAAAAACACCAGACAATACAGTAGACATTAGGGACTACGTGCGTCCTTTTTGAGAAAGCTACATGATGAATAAATCAGCCAATCAAGACATAAATGAAGAGATAATGGAGAGAACTGAATCCATTTAAATACTGAACTAAGACTAAAAAAAATACATGGATTAGATAACACAAAAGTATAGAAATGTCACGACAGTAATACTGTAATCCCAACTGAAAAATTAGTCAGTGGTTGGGAGTAGGGAAGGAAGGTGAAAAGAATTTGAAAGTACTAATTTCTTCATCTCTCATAGCAAAGCATATCGAGCAGTTGAAAAGTTAATCATCTAGACATCTGCAGCTTTTTAAAATCACCAGAACTTCAGTGTTTTTTGTTAAGCTTGAGGGATCTATTAGTAATTACTATCTTTTGTAAAGAATCCTTGATGTGAAATTCATCTCTCTCTCCCCCACTTTTTTTTTTTTTTTTTGAGACGGAGTTTCACTCTTGTTGCCCAGGCTGTAGTGCAATGGTGCTATCTCAGCTCACAGCAACCTCTGCCTCCCAGGTTCAAGAGATTCTCCTGCCTCAGCCTCCTGAGTAACTGGGATTACAGGCAGGAGACACCATGCCTGACTAATTTTGTATTTTTAGTAGAGACAGGGTTTCTCCATGTTGGTCAGGCTGGTCTCAAACTCCTGACCTCAGGTGATCCACCCGTCTCATCCTCCCAAAGTGTTGGGATTACAGATGTAATCTGTAGGTGGCCACCTACAATCCCAGCTATTCGGGAGGGTGAGGCAGGAGAATCACTTGAACCCTTGTCCAACATGGTGAAACTCCATCTCCACTGCTCCCAGTCCTCTTTTTTAACTCTAATTTTTTAAAAGTGAAATTGAGCCCTTTACAACACTTAAAATTGCATATATAGTATGACCTTAACTATGTGAAATTATTTGTATCCATCTTTTAATATCTACAAACCTATAGGGATATATGTGGATAATGTTAATCTAATGCTAATCATTATTGCTAGATGATGAGATCCTGTGTGACTGCTGCCTTCTTCCTTGCATTTTTCTATATTGTTTGAATTTCTTTCTTTCTGCTTTTTTTCAGAGACAGGGTCTTGCTCTGTCACCCAGGCTGGATACAGGGGACTGTGATAGCTCACTGCAGTTTTCAATCACTAGGCTATAGCAATCCTCCCATCTCAACCTCCTGAGTACCTGACACTACAGGCATGTGCCACCACTCCCAGGGAATTGTTTGATTTTTTTGTAGAGATAAGTCCCTGCTCTGTCACCCAGGCTGGTCTCAAATTTCTTACCTCAAGAGATCCTCCTGCCTCAGCCTCTCAAACTGTTAGGATTATAGCCATGAGCCACTGCGCCCGGCCCGAATTTCTTAGTGAGCATATATAATCATATGCCACAATATGACATTCTAGTCAATGACTGACTACATATGCAACAGTGGTACCATAAGTATACAGTATTATAAGTTACAATACTATATTTTTACTGTACCTTTTCTATGTTTGGATACAGAAATATTTACCATATATATTTTTTTGAGATGGAGTCTCACTCTTGTTGCCCAGGCTGGAGTGCAGTGGTGTGTGATAGCGGCTCACCACAACCTCCTCCTCTTGACTTTAAGGGATTCTCTTGCTTCAGCTTCCCAAGTAGCTGGGATTACAGGCACCTGCCACCCACCCGGCTAATTTTGACATGGGGTTTCTCCATGTTGGTCAGGCTGGTCTTGAACTCCTAACCTCAGGTGATCTGCCCGCCTTGGCCTTTCAAAGTGCTGGGATTACAGGCGTGAGCCACTGCACTTGGCCTTTTTTCTCTTTTCTTTTTTTTTTTAGCTGGAGTCTCCCTCTTGTTGCCCAGGCTGGAGTGCAGTGGTGTAATAGTGACTCACCACAATCTCCTCCTCTCGAGTTTAAGGGATTCTCCTGCCTCAGCCTCCCAAGTAGCTGGGATTACAGGTGCATGCTACTACCGCCTGGCTAATTTTTGTATTTTTAGTAGAGACGGGGTTTCACCACATTGACTGGACTGGTCTCGAACTCCTGACCTCAAATGATCCACCTGCTTTGGTCTTCCAAAGGGCTGGAATTACAGGCGTGCCACTATACCCAGCCATATTTATCATCTTGTTACAACTGCTTATATGCAATAACATGCTGTACAGGTTTTCAGCCTAGGAGGAATAGGCTATACCATATATGCAGCCTAGGTGCGTAGCAGGCTTTACCATCTAGGCTTGTGTAAGTATACTCCATGATGATCACACAATGATAAAATTACCTAATGACACATTTCTCAGAATGTATCCCTGTCAAGGGATGCATAATTATGATATTTTTCATTTTGGTTTTTTTCCCTCCCTTCTCTCTCCTTCCCTATTTTATAGTGACGGATTTGGAGATGTGTTGTTCAATACGAGTAACCATTTTTCTTAAAGCATTAAGTAAAGCAAACAAGGAAATCAAATAAAGTTTCCAGAATGATGTGTGAGCTGAGTTCCAAAGCCTGTGTGGGTTAAAAAGCAGGAAAAAGGCAACCCATGTAAAAAGAATCATATCTGAAAGGCACAGAAGAGTTGGGCATTCCTGCTTCTTGCCTTCTGCAGCACTTCCTACAAACCTCTTACTTATAGACCCTATAGTTATATTTTATTGATTTGTTTACATGCCTTTAACAGGAAGATTATGATATAAACTAATTTTTATTCTTCCTTCTTTCTCCCACTCCTAGGAGAATGCCTTGTATACAGCAAGATAAAATCAATATGAAAAGATAAAGACAATGCATGGGCTGGGCGCAGTGGCTCACACCTGCAATCCCAGCATTTTGGGAGGCTGAGGGGGGTGGATCAGCTGAGGTCAGGAGTTTGAGACTAGCCTGGCCAACATGGTGAAACTCCATCTCTACTAAAAATACAAAAATGAGCCAGTCATGGTGGTGGGCGCCTATAGTCCCAGCTATTCAGGATGGTAAGGCAGGAGAATAACTTGAACCCAGGAGGCAGAAATTACAGTGAGCTGGGATCGTGTTACTGCACTCCAGCCTAGGGGACAAAGCGAGACTCCATCCCAAAAAAAAGGGCAATGAATGAATGGAGCCTACAACATAAAAGCACTGTATAATTTTCACAGTATCATGCTGCTTCTTAGAAAAGTGGATCTAAGCCAAATTTGTCAAATATTATCTATGTAACACCTGCCTACAAAATTTTTTGCAATAAATTGTCATTTAATGATTCATTCAGTACTTTCTAGTCCCTTGTATTCAATAACATAGTGTCTCCCAATTTTCCTCTAATTTATCCAGAAGCTCCATCTAGAGTTTTCTCTTAAATGCAGGCGATACTCAAGTTTTGCATTGTTACTCGATAATATTACCATGGTGATTTTATGTACCTTCTACCTTTTGCTTCATCAATATTTAAATTAAAAATATGAAACATGTCTGCTCTAGATAGCTTTCCAAAATTCTTGACCCAGCTGCCTATTACCAATTGCTACCTTAAAATACCAACATATGACCTCAAGATTTCTAAAATTAAATTCTTTATTTTTCTCCTAATTTGACTTCCCACCTATATTCCCTGTCAATTAATGGTATCATCATTCATTTGCTTGCCCAAGCTAGAGATCTTAAGAGTCACTTGGACTTCTCCCTCACTGTTCTTTATCTGATGTTCCATTTGTTAGCCACCTCTTATTGATTCTGCCTCCGCAATATCTCTCAATTCTATAATTTCTCTTAAACTCTGTTACTAATTTGTCAGTGTTTTAAAAATCATGTCTGAGCCAGATGTGGTGGCTCACACCTGTAATCCCAGCACTTTGGGAGGCCAAGAGGGGCAGATCACGAGGTCAGAAGTTCAAGACCAGCCTGGGCAACCTGGTGAAACCCCATTCCTACTAAAAATACAAAAATTAGCTAGGCATGGTGGTGGGTACCTGTAATCCCAGCTACTCGGGAGGCTGAGGAAGGAGAATTGCTTACATCAGGTAGGTGGAGGTTGCAGTGAGCTAACATTGTGCCACTGTACTCCAGCCTGGGTGACAGACCAAGACTCCATCTTGGAAACAAACAAACAAAAAAACAACAACAATATCCTAACTTATCTTTGTTTCTAGTCCTGATTCATTTTAATTCATTTTCCACACAATAATCAAAACATATTTGAATTCTCTCATATTTCAATGAATTAAAATTTAAATAGCCACACGTATCTAACAACTCAGCTCTAAAGCAATATATTAAAAAAGAAACCAAGAAGAGAGAGACACACACACACACACACACACACACACACACACACACACCCTACCAAGAGGTATAGTTTTAAAATAAAAATTAACAGAAGAAATAAAATTAAATACTAAAAATGTAAGATTCAA